GGCTGGGTCGGGGGCTGTGCCTGGCTCAGCCTCTCTGGGGAGTGTGAGAAGCGCCGGGGTGCCGTGGAAGTGGGTTTGGGGAGGCTTACAGGGCCGTAGGAGATGGGGCTTAAACAGGGCCGTGAGCCTCAGGAGCTCTTCTGCCGTCTGGACATCCATGACAGAACCAAAGCGTGTACAAAAGAGCACGGGAGTTACAAGTACTAGAAAGGAGGTTGCTTAAGGTTTGAAAAAATGATTACCTTGGGGAAGATTCTGGTAATTTAAAATTGTGGCTATTTGCAGATGGCTCTCGGTCTGTTACGGTGGTGGGGCCTGGGGCCTGTGTTCGAAGAACCTGTGCAATCTGCTTGTCGTGTGGTTTCCCCCTCACCTGTCCTGCTGGAAAATCCTTTCCCTGACTCGGCCTGTGTGCCCCCCTTGGGGGAAGCGGGGAGTTAATCCAGCGCAGTGTTTAGACTCATGGTGTCGAGCCTTTAGCCTTTTCATATCCTGTCCTAACACCTGCGTCGCCTGCGCCCTGACCTGTGCCAGTTCTGGTCTCTTGCCACCGGCCGATGTAGTTGGGCTTAGTTATTTTTTCATGGAGCGAGGTGTAACTGATCGTGTTGGTAAAACAGAGATGAAGGGGGGCTCGCTGATGGCTAGCAAAACACTGCCATGATTTCAAGTTTCTTAACTTTCCTTTTCTTCAGGAGAAGACTGATGTGGAGGGAACGCTGTTTGTTTACACAAGGTGAGGAAGAAACGTTTTAATGTCTGCAGGTGAAACCTGTGCATGTGCAAATGCTACCTGGGATGGAGTGTGGCTTAATGAAGAAAAATGGTGCAAGGGTGAAAAGAAACTGAAATTGGCAGAGGCAAAAGTGGGGAAGAAAACACTGGGAGGGGTGCATCACTGGTGTTTGGATAAGACTTCCAAATGTGATATTTAAATCTCAGTATAGGTAAACCATAGACAAGTATAGGTAAATCATAGACAACTGTTATGTTGTGTTAAAGAGGTTGTAGCATTTGCAGTTTATAAGGTGTCTGAACAGAAAGCAAACAGTGAAATAAATAACGAGATTCCTCAAAGTAAGGGAATGGTAGAACCTATGAATTGTTGTGTTCCCTACTTAGGGAATTTTCATACTACTTGCGTTTGATTATTCATTTTTCATGCATATTTTATCCAACATATTGGATGGTTTTATGCTTTCTTTTAGCAGCAGCTCTGACTGTCTTTTAAAAGCGTTGGTTACATCATTTATTCTACCATGTACCTTAGATCAGTTGTGAAGCCTGCCCTATGTTTGGGTTTCCAAGTTAGTGCCCCAGCACTTCCTTGTGACTGTTGTTAAAATCAGAAAATAATGCAGTAAGTGGATCTTGCAGTAGCTGCTGGGATGGGACACCAAAGCAGAAACTTTCTGCTTCAACATTTATGTTGATGGGGATCTGGTAGGAGAACTGAGAAAGCGAGAGGTTGTTTTGAGAAGAAGAGGTGTATGTGCGAAGTGAGAGGGAGGCCCAAGAGACTGTGAGCTTTGTGTGAAGTGGGAATGCTGGTTTTAATCTTTTGAGCTCTTTTGTACCAGCAGTGGTAATCATCATCGGTAATTTTTCTAAGCTGCTTTCATGTATGTGGAGATAAGAGGCTGTTATTGTTACCACCACAAGAGTAAAGAACTGGCAGTCAGTTGTGTTAGCAGTAGGTGGAGGTGGCTAGTTGTGTACTGCAAAACAGAAGTAGTATTTCTCTGGTATGTTGATTTGAAAACTCCAGAACTGACAAGGTGTAACCAGGTACTTGTAGCATCTGTGATCTTTCACTGTCTGTTTTGTTGGTGGAGGAAGTTTCCATTTACAGCAGAGATTGCTACACTGGCTGCCCTGTAGGCTATAGTATGGAACAGCTTGTGAGCTGTAACATCATACATTGCCCTTCCCATCAGTTCTAACTTTAATTTCTTGTGGCTTTGAACAAAGTCATAAAGTCTTGTGGAAAAAACACTGCCAACAGACCATAGGTTGGAGAGCGCTGGTGTTGCCTTTGTTGCTTCTCGTGACTGTTGTGACAATGTGAAGTAACGTGACCGGTTTACTTGAGCTGACTTACGTGTCACCTATCTCATCTTTGCAAATTCTGAGCAGTGGTTAAAGCATCAGACTTCCAACTGGGTTAACACCAGGGGAACTGGACTGGGGTTTCTGTTTGTTTGTTTGAAGAATTGAAGTACTGACTGTTGCAAACAAGGATTCCTGTTAAAGGTTCCACTTTTGTTTAATTTTCTGTTGACTCCAATCTTGTAATGCGCGTTCCTGTGCTTTGAATTTCACAGAGAAATCCACCTGCCACCAATTACCAGAGATGGCACTTTTCCCAAATTTTTAGCCGTCATCTTTTCCTTTATTGTTGTACTTGGTTTGATAGTAAGAGCTCCTGTCAGGATGGTTTAACAGCTCACGTTAATAAAAATAATCTAAGTGACTTGAAGTGTAACCCCCATGAATGAGCATAATGATTTAGTATCATAGAATCTAGAACGGTTTGGGTTAGAAGGGACCTTTAAAAATCTCATTGACCCCCCCCGTCATGGACAGGGACATCTGTCACTAGATCAGGTTGCTCAAAGCCTTGTCCATTCTGACCTTGAACACTTCCAGTGATGGGGCATCCACAGCGGCTCTGGGCAACCTGTTCCAATGTGTCAACACCCTCGCTGTTGTCCTTATGCTTTAAATGGGTATAGCAAACCCTATCTGGGATGACTGTTACTATCTGCAGTTGTTAACCTCAGTGTTAAAAAAATACACTTGCTCTGACCCATGACTGAATCATTGTAATTGCTGTTTTCTGCTCCAGCGAGAAACTATAGGGTCGCTGGTGGTGGCTGGATAACGTGATGCTCATGGTCTGGGGCAAAGTGGCGTGTTGTGACATCTTGCCTGTTCGGGAGTTGTAGACTTTATAACTTGAAGTGAAAACTGGGCATGCAGATATGATTATGCTGTGACTAAATCACTGGACCTCAAATGGTAGTATCACAGATGTGGCATACTCTCTGTAGCTATTGTAAGATCAATGGTGCTTCTGTTATTTCTCATACATAATGTAACGTTTTGACATAATTAAAAGGATTGCATGAAACACTGCAAGAGTCAATTGTTATTTCCTTGGCAACAAAATTAGATTTTTTTTTAGTATTTGTTAGAAACCAATAAAACCAATTTTGGGGAACTATACAACAAAGAAATTCTAGTAATTTCTTTTTTTTTCCTGGACTTGACATGATTTCTACTTGATAATTTTCAGATCGGCTTCTCCAAGGCATGGCTTCACAATTATGAACAGACTGAGCATGGAAAATCGAACAGAACCTATTACGAAAGACCTCGATTTCCAGCTGCAGGACCCTTTTCTACTGTACAGAAATGCCAGATGTAAGTATGTGATATGTTAGGTTAAGTACTGAAGAAGTCAGCTCCTCTTCGAAGTCTGTTCTTGGTTAAGGCAGTCCACATTGTTAGACTGCAGCTTTCAAGGGCTCAGACTAGCTGGTTAACAGTTACAGTTGAAGGAATACATTTTGCTTTTTGGTGCGCTGAAAGAGCTGCTCAATGCTTCCTAAAATGCCACTCTTCTAAGGGAAGTATTAGAATGTTCTTAACAGTAATCTCTTAATTTAACTGACCAATAGTAGACTTTCATATTCCTGTGTATGTGACGAGTGTAGACACTCATAGAGATACTGTGTGTGCTCTGAATATCCCCATCGGTGCTGGGAAGTCTTGCCATAAAGCAGATCCACTGAGGGTTGGAGTAGAGTAATAATAAGTAAGTAATAGACAAATGCAGTGAATTCAAACCCTGTCTTCTGCTCCAGTTCCAAAATACTGTCCTTACAGCAAGTTGGAAGGCAGGTTACTCCTAAACTGTTAGGGGTAACTCTTGGCAACGTAGTGTTGAGCCTAATCTAAACTCTGATGAAAGACAAAGTTATTACTTTGGGCTCTGTGTTTATCTTGCATGATTATACGAGAATTAGGAAGTGCCAGGCCAACTCAAAAAGAAGTGGAAGACCTGAGAAAGCTCTACTTTTACGTGCAGATATACATTGACTGTTAAAATGTCCAATTATATGAGAATGAGCAATTATAAATATGCAGTTTTTATCTGTACTTGGAGGCAGAGCTCTAGTATGATCTATACTTTGTGCCTGATGCATAAAAGCAGACTGCAAAAATGTTTTATGTAAAGTGTGATGCGGAAATGTACCCTCTGGCTGAAGTAAAAGCAGAGGAAATCTGCAGCACACAAAGCAGCCCAGTTTGGTAATCTGCTAGACTATTTTACTTCATAAACTAAATTTGGAGTTGGAAAGTATATCAGGAGGGAATCCTGTTGTTCGGACACACTATGTGGTAGAAACAACAGAGAAATAACCTAAATGAAACTTCTGTTTTTGACAGTATTTGATAGGCTGACAAAGAATCAAAATTCCTAAAGAAACTGAAAAGAAATGCAGACATCTCCAGGCTGACCTAGACTAGACCAGATATTAGGGTTTTAAGAGACCATGACACCTATTTATCCCATCTGATTTTGAAGAGTCTTTCCTGTGTATATGTAATCTTTGTTTATTTCGCTGTGAAACTCCATTGAGTTTATGTATATGTGTACTCATGCCTACATTTTGAAACCTGATATATTATTTTTTCATTTTTGTTGAGACAATTGGTATAAAGAGTAATTAGAAGTTGTCATAACTCTATGCTGAAGTGAAGTAAGATAGTCTTTAGTTTGAGTACTATACATAAACTGTGATTTCTTTGGGTTTTTATAGGAGAAAATTTGGGGGGTTTGGGGAGTGTAAGCCATCTGTTCACTAAGAGATATCAGAATTTTAGATTTGCCGCATTTCAGGTCTCAGTATTAACATGTGCTTCTGAGCAGCAGGCCTGTGTTCAAGTAACTTGTCTGGGACTTTTTGGCTAATTGTGCCACAGCAAAATGCAGAAGGCTTCTGTTCTGGGCTGTTCTGTCTGGGCAATGGTTCTTTTAGGGTAGTTACTGCTGGACTGTGCGCGGCATCAAGGCCTTCTCCGGTTTCTCACAGTGAGTAGGCTGGGGATGCGCTAGAAGTTCAGAGGGGATGCAGCTGGGACAGCTGACCCCAAGTGACCAAAGGGATGCCCCAGACTGTGTGACCTTGTGCTCAGCAGTAAAAGCTGGGGAAAGGAGGAGGAAGAGGGGATGTTTGGAGTTACTGCGTCTGTCTTCCCAAGTAACTGTTACATATGATGAAGCCCTGCTTTCCTGGAAATGGCTAAATATCTGCTTGCTGATAGAGAGTAGTGATTGAATTCCTTATTTTGCTTTGCTTGCACGCACAGCTTTGCTTTACCTATTAAACTGCCTTTATTCTCAGCCCACAAGTTTTCTTCCTTTTGCCCTTCTGATTCTCTCCCATCCCACTGAGGGGAGGGAGCGAGTGGCTGTGTGGGGCTGAGCTGCCGGCTGGGGTTAACCCACAACACCTACACTGACAATTTCCCAGCGACAACGTGAAAGTAGCAACACCTTTCTTTCGGCTTAGGATCTCTCAGCCACAAGATCTGATAGCTTCTTGACCTTATGGCACTCTTTACTGGATCAATTCCTGGAGTGTAACCATGAAAAAAGAAATAAAAAGATCGCCAGCCAGCGTACTCCCGGTTTTATAAAATCACCTTCAGCCTGGGTCTGTGGGTCTGATTTTTACCACAGTCAGCTGTTTGATCTAACCGTGGGTAAATCTATATGTTACTTAATTTGAGAATTTTGTCATCTGAGGGAAGATTCGTGTTTGCTTTACTAAAAAAATCCACTAGTTTAGGATTTCACTTCCTATCAGATGTGTTCTAGGTATAGGGGTATGTTACCCTTAGTTATTTATCTTCCTAAATTACACTTACAAAGGCTTAATCATTAGTTCTTCAACAAAACTGAAGGTCTCGGTACCTCAAAGGAAAAATTGTTGTTTTCTCAGATTTTCATAGAAACGTCTATGTTCCCAGAGCAAACTGGCGTTACAGGCCCATGGAAGAAAAGTTACTTACCAACTCATTTGACTTTTCCAGGTTTTCTTTAGGTCCATACAGATTGTTCAGGTGGTAATGTCTCTACTGAGATGCAGATACCTCTAGCCCTTTCTTCCTTACTGTGTATTTCAAAGCCTTTGCTACATAAAATAAAGGAGCCTCCTCAGCATTAACTATCTGTTTTCACTAGGGTCTCATCCAAACGTGATTCTGACTATCTGTCCTGAATTTTCTGTATGAGTATTTTGCTTGTATTTTGCTTTATTATACAACTTGTCTTTATAATTTTTGTAAAACTAAGGCTTCAGGCTTCTTCCTTATTAAATATAATTTTCATCCAAAACTGGGATTTTTGTTTTTATCTCCTACTTCCAGTTACTAACAAGGAGTACTTGGTGAGAGCTGTTTACTTGACAAAACAGTGAACAATTTGGCAGTAATACTTATCAGGATCTGGAAACAAGTTATCTTTTTCTAACATTTTGTTTCACTTGGTTACTTCTTACTCCGTTTTTCATACATATCTTCTTGTTAGATATAATAAAACTAGCAGAGTTTCCTCTGTTTTTCTAATTGGTATAGTTGCTTTCCCATATAAGAAGACTTACATTTGGATTTTTTGACAATGTAAATTTCAGAAAAATACAAAATCAAGCATTTGGAGGAATAAAGAAGTCCTGCCCAGTCTTTTGTTTCTTCCAATATTCTGAATGTTTGTTGAAACCAGCTTCATTTCATTACAGCTAAGTATCTATGGCTGGTTGTATTGCACAGTCTGAAATAAAAGCAAAAGGTGGTACTTGTGTACTGGACAAGTCCGCCAACATTTTGTTATAATTGTTATTTTGTAAAGATTGCTTTACATCCAGTACATGATTACAGTAGATAAAGCTTTCCAAAATTATACACAATAATTATAAATATTATGAATACCTAAAATAAGGAATATTTTGATCTTTTTACTTTAATGGTCTTTGTATTTCTTCTGTTGTTCCATGTAACCTTGGTCACCTGAAGCTGAAGTACTGTCTAAACACCGTGTTGCAGACACCTACAGTCTAATCCCAGGACTTTTCAGGCTGGATTTGGGATTCATGCCAGTTAATATTTGCACTGATCCACTACTTCACAGAGAAGTTTAGTTTAGGAAATCTGTTAGGCTAGAGCTAGGGTTATTAATTTACAAGCCGGGAGGGAAGCTTAGATTAGTTTTTAATGCTAGCAGAAATCCATGTCCACCAAGAAACAGAAGGTTTATGGATCAAATAGGTATTTTCAATGTGACCTTCAAACTCACCTAGATAATGGCAGTTTTAGCCGCTTTCTTTTTGAGAGCAAGACGGTAGTTCTGTTTTTGTTTAGATCATCTTAACAGTTTGAAGGGTTTTAAAAAATTTCCTAGGCTCTATTTTTAAGTAATCTTAACTACATAACTATTGTTTTTTCCATAATCTTTGGTGATATTTATTGTGAAAACCAATGTTTAGACCCTGTTGGTTAAGACTTGGTGCTGATTAATATGAGGTAGTGCAGAAGGAATGCGTAACTGTAAATTACTGGTTACAATAACTTCCTTTTCTCCTTTTAGCATTGATCAGCTAAGTAAAAATTTACTTGCAACTATTCCCAGCTGTATATTGTACCAGGTGTCTATGGGTGTATGCTGGGTCAGTGAATTATTTCTTGAGTTGACTGATCAATCATTTTGTCACTGAATACTGTTTTCCATGTTTACAGGACACAGAGAATTTGACGAATGTTAAGTTACATATCTTAAACTTAGCTTTACTTCAAGCTTTACTTCAGCTGCCAGAAAAAATACAAGATCCTACCTTATAATAGTCAGTGTGCTAATTATGATGATGATCTGATACAGATTAATTGTATGCTTTTGTGCTATAGCAAGTAGAGAAAGAAATTGTGTGACAGATCAACAAATACTCTGTATCTGACTAGATTCTGTACCTATTTGGGCACAGAAGTTACTTTTCATTTCTGTGCCACATTTGTAGCAAGGCCTTTGATCCTGTCATCTCCTGGGCTCGAAACGGAATGAAGCTTTCTAGTCAGATGTGTTGAATTTGAGCTTTTGCAGAGGTTCGGGAAGTGGTACAAAAGCAGACCAGACATGCCCGATTTTGGTAAAACTGTCTAGATACATGTGATGTGTCCATAATCTCGTACTAGTTTCAGTTGTCCAGTTTAACCTGCCACCATGTATCTATCGGAACCCTGAGAATTTAGTATTATTTTCCCAGATTCCTGCACTGCAAAGATGTCCGGTAGATGAGATGGGGTGGGGGGGGAGAGGGAAGTTTGCCAGCTGTCCAAAGCAGTAGCATAAGTTTTGGTTTTCGTTT